GTGCGCGACGGACTTAGACTATGTTTTGGCCCCTAGAGAATAGGAAAACCGCTAGTGGTTACGATAGGAGAGCCTTGCAAATTGAGGTACAACAACCATCCTTTGAAAATATGATTGATTAAATGGCATATGTTTCATGTGGGGCAGGCTACTTCATTCATTCTTAGCGTCCTAAAATGTACAGATCCATTGGTTTCCTAATGACTTTAATTCGTGTAGAGGTACATGACTCCAGATAACTCACAAGATATTTGAGCACCATTGGCGGATTACTCAAGAAATTTGCAAACTAACGACTCTAGATATTTCGGAGATATTCGAACTGCAAGTTGAGAAATTATTATATATGAGAAATTTCAACTTTGTTGTACGTTCACAGCCAGGGTTTGAGCTTCTCTGTGTTTCAAGTAAAATTTATTTCGACTCTGTGTTTCATCTTTGCTAATCAATTTAGTCCCATACCTACTCTGAAAGTTTACGGTGCATTTGGTTTGGGTCTTGAGGGAAAAACCTTTGAAAAAATGTAAAGGACTTTAGGTGAAAGAGGTTTTCCACAATGCAAATAGTATTTGGTAAAGTGTAAATTAAAAAAACACATTGGGAAGTAACTTTGACTTAAATACCATTTGAAAAAAATTCACTTTGTAAAGGACTTTTGCTATTTTTTTATAAAAAAATTCCCAAACTTTTTGGCGGAAGTTAGCCACTACCGCCCGCCTCAACTAGGGTCATGCGACCTCAAGCGACATTGCTTGGGGTCCTAAGGTCATGCGACCTCAAGCAACGTTGCCTTGGGTCGCGCAACCCCAGGCGATGTCACCTAGGGCTAGGCTTTGGCAACCTCAGACGAGGCTGATGGTGGCGGCTTGCCTGTGGTTGAGGCTTTCACCAGCAACATTAGGGTTTTCGAGGACATTTCCATAATTATGAAAGTATTGTGAGGGCAATATTGGAAGAAAAACAATCTATTTGCATTCCGGAATGCTCAAAGCTCAAAACACCTCTAGACCTATCTTGAGCTAAAGGCTTTTAAAGGCTTCTGAAAATACAATTGCATTTCTCAAAAATTCTCCAAAAAATTTGTCAAATGCCATTTGTATTTGCTCAAGAGACTTTGGAGCCCTAAAGGGCTTTGGCAAAGTGTTGCCAAACGCATCCTTAGTCCTTTAACATACAGATAAACGCTTTCCTAGGAAGTTATGTATCTTGATTGTACTCTTATCCAAGTACGTTAACATTGGAGTTCAATCGCAACACTCTCCCCCCTATTAGGTGGGCAATTTTTTTACTTCTTGCTCAATTGTCATCTTAGAAGCCTACCCGTGGCCGCACTTTACTTAGGTCCTCTTGCCACGACAATCACTCTCCGCCCTTGTCTTTGGGTCACTACAAGCCCACTAACTTATGTATGGTTTGTCCCAAAATCACACATCTACTAGTGAGAATTAGACTTCAATACCATAATGTGACATCGTGGCTTAACTTGATCGAAGTATTATCACCTTTAGCTTGTCCCATATTATGGTTTTATCCTTTAGTATACAAGCAAATATATGTTAAAGTTTTTTCCTTCCTAGCATTGCTCTCACTTGAGCATTTTTAACTAATGTTAAACTTGTCATTATGCTAAAAAACACTTCTTGTGAGTTAATTCTGATTTTACATTGACAACCCACACGCACTCTCCCCATGTTCGATCGATGTGCAATTCATTTCTGCCCCCCTCCCCCTCCGCCTTCTAAAAACCTTGTTCGGCCAATCTCGCCCCTATAATCAATCTCTTCCCTCGTTGGACTGGATCGTTACACTTCAAAAGTTACTAAGGATTGAATTAAGAGCACGTTGAGCACTGAGTAAAAAGTTTCTATTAACCCTTTCATTTGGGTATCTGAATCTCTTTGAGCACTTGGCTAATCCTCAATAGATATTACAGTCCTCTCGTTTCTGCACATACCTAGTAATTATAAGAGATAATGTCTATATTTTTGGAGTATCTCACAAAAAGGTGCTACTGTAGTGATTTTAACTTATTCTTTGAACGAGGATCGTCTACGTACTTATCATTTGAGTAGTCTCTCGAGTTAGTAAACTATGTGAACTTGGTTGAATTCTAACTTCTCCCAAACTTAGTTCACCTATTTCTACTGCCCCACAATAGATGAGTTCCACTCTCTCTTTAATATTATACATGATTGGCTATAGACGGTCCATCTCGTTATGGCTACCTAGAAGAGTTTTCTATTTGTTTTTCCTCACGGTCAACGTTTCCATGCTCAACCACTTCACCGCCTGGTCGATCGCCTATTGGCAGCACCTGAGAGTACATAAATTGCGGACAAATAGGTCGTCAGGGGAGAGAGGAGAAAACTAATTATTTCCTAGGAAAAGTGAATTCAGTTTGACCATGTTGAATGTCTGAATAATTTTTACTTTTCCTTTCATTTAAAATTTTCAATTGGCGAATTCTAATTTTATTCTTCAGCGGAAACACCAAAACCTTTCACAGTATACAAATATTTACAAGTAAATTCGCATTTGTTTCACAATTTTTTGAAATTTGAATAATATTTTGAAATAGTGCTAATACCACCAAAAACCCTAAATTGGTATACCTTATCACATTTACCCTAAACTAATTTTTGTGTCACAAAAACCCCCAAATTAGTATACCCATGCCACATTTACCCCAAACTAAGTTTTGTGTCATAAAGAAACCCCCACCTATGCCACATTTACTGCAAACTGGTACACACGTTCCATATTTACTTCGATTGTGGTAAATCTAATATTTTTTTGGGTAAATATGGCACGGGTGTACTAGTTTGAAGGTAGGAATATACCAGTTTGGGGTTTTTTATGACAGAAAAATTAGTTTGAGGTAAATGTGTTAGGATTGTACCATCTTAGGGTAAATGTGGCATGGATGTACAAATTTGGGAGTTTTTATAACACGAAAATTAATTTGAGATAAATGTGATCCGGATGTACCGATTTGAGGTTTTTGATGGCATGATCCCTTTAAAGTTTAATATGAAAATAAAAAGTTAGCTTCTTACGTCTTAGAAAGCTTAACCAACTAGTTCGACCAAAAAAAAAAAACACGAACTTTCTTTTTCCTATCCTTAAACCTCTTCAGACGTCAAGTGCTTAGTATGCAACTTATTGCACCAACCATCCAAATCATACACATTTCGGACGAGAGAATTATCAAAAAAAGTCATAAATCTATTGCAATTGTGTCAATTCAGTTATAAGCCTTTTTTTTGCTAATTGAGTCTTAAACATTTTGCATTTGTGCCAATTCAGTCCATCTGGCCAACATTTGTGCCAATTTAGTCCATTTGGTTAAAATCGCTAACATGGATGACGACCGTCCTATGTGGCGTGACCAACGTTAACGTAGACAATTTTTAATAATATTTTATTATATTTTGAATTTTGAAGTTCTTTTATTTTTCTTTTATTTCTCCTTTTTTTTCCCTTCCTCCTTCCTCTGCCGATCATCGGATCCCGGCGACTGGCTAGAGGCAAGGGCAACCTCGCTGGCCATGGTGAGGCGACCTCGCCCAGCGAAGGTGAGATCTGGGCGAGGTTGAGCCTTGCCAATGGCCGACAAGGTAGGAAGAAAAAAAAGAAAAAGAAAAGAAAAAATAAATTTTTTTTGAAAAAAATAGTAAAATATTATTTAAAATTATTTACGTCAGCAGGAGTTCATGTTAGCGGTTTCCGGTCAATTTTGATAGGATAGAGTGAATTGTCACAAATGCAAAAGGTTTATTTCTCAATTGGTAAACAAAAGATGTATAACTCAATTGACACAATTATAATAGATTTAGGTTTTTTTTAATAATTTTTGCCATTTCCACGTCACATGTTGTACTCTTTGCTGCCATGGGAAAATGACAAGACTATTTATATAATTGTGAAATTGTACTTCAAAAAATATAAAGTGCATTAACTATGACATGGCTTTTCCAAAACAGCATCGCTGCTCTACCAAGTAATTGGGAAGCTCATACCCAAGAAGAGAACAATACATGCCAATGAGACCACATGATTTACTTTGCTGGCCCCCTAGAGAGTTCTTGTGGGCTATATAATCTATATATATACATATATAAGTTACTATGCTATGGTGGAAAAAAATTTAAAAATTCAGAAAATAAAAAAAATGCAAAAATTATGCACGTTAGTGTCAGCCATGCCACAAAGGATGACAGGCATCCGCGTTAGCAATTGCCGGGCAAAATTAGTCAGAAGGATTACATTGATAAATCATCAAAAGATTTAGAACTTAATTAGCCAAATTGAAAATTTAAGAAAAAATTTTGGGCTGAATTGACATTCATACAATAATTTCGGGACTTTTATGATAATTTTTCCTATATTATGTGACGGATCGTTCGCATGGTATCATCTACCACATCAAAGTCAGATTGTGTTGGGTAGCCATTTGTTAGGAAAACAATATGCTACACAATATATAAGCTACTTCCGGAAAACAATACGAGAGAGAGAGAGAGAGAGAGAGAGAGAGAGAGAGAGAGAGAGAGAGAGAGATATCTCATAGCCACGTGGGAAACATATTGAGACGTGATCGTTCCCATCCAACAACGTGGAGGCTACAGTGGTCACAAGTTTAGATAAATTTCCTGAAACCTTACCACCTTGAAATAGTATGTTGGTAACCACATCCTCCTCGGTTACATCTAGGTAACCTAATAGATTCATCTAGACCCATTGCTACGCGTAAACGTGGAACAAGCTAATTAATTAAAGGGTTTTCCTAATTTTTATTGTATTTTATTTTTTCCTCTGGCTTACAAAAGGCATTCCTAATTTCAGACCAAGTTTTAGGATTAATTTTTATCAATCTATGTCGTGCAAACGTGGCACGAAACCTTCCATGTATTATGAATTGACGAAACCCTTAGGCTGAGTTGAAACGCTATATAAGGTGGTTCGAGCTGATGAACCGCCTCATTCCTCTCTTGAACATGCAAAGTCAATAGCTATAGCGATTAGCGAGTTCATTCACGTCGCCTTACAATCCTATTGCCTATTCTCGTTCCTTAGCCAAGTCCATTAAGCAAAGACCCAAAACCATCATTTCTAAGTGTTGAACTACGAAGAGGAGGCCGATTGTTCCGCAAAAGCAAGAAGTCGGGATGGCGTCGGTCCTTTCCGAGCTCGAAGGGACTCTCTTGAATGATCCGGACCCCTTTTCCTACTTCATGCTGGTGGCGTTCGAAGCGTCCGGTGTGGTACGCTTCACGCTGCTGTTGTTACTATGGCCCGTGATTCGGCTGCTCGATGCATTCGGGAAAGAAGATGTCGGACTAAAGGTGATGACCTTCGTAGCGACGGCTGGAGTGCCCGAGTCGGAGATCAGATCAGTGGCGAGAGCCGTCCTGCCCAAGTTTTACATGGATGACTTGGACATGAATGCTTGGAGGGTGTATAGCTCACATGGAAAGAGAGTGGTGATGACAAAAACCCCGAGAGTCATGGTGGAGAGGTTTGCAAAGGAGCATTTGCAAGCCGACGAAGTGATCGGGAGCGAGATCATCGTGAATCGGTTTGGATACGCCACAGGTTTCATTAGAGGCGACAACAAGCGCTTCGCCGATCAAGTCAAGAAGTTCTTTGACGGTGAACAGCCGACTTTAGGGTTAGGAAGGCCATCGTCGTCTCAGTCGGTTTTATCGTTATGCAAGGTGAGTTCGTCTACATCGTGATGCTCGATTCGGCTTTTTCAGTAGTTTGGAAATGATGAAGACAATTTATGTAGTATTGTAAAATTTGCCTTCTACTTACAAATTAATCATATCTTTACTCTAACTTCCCGTTTTCGAACTTACATATATGATCACCTAACCGTGTACTTTCACATTAACTGTTTTCATTTTTACTTTCACTATGCCAAGTTGACTCTACTTACGACAATGTACTTCCATCGAAGTAAAACTGATTAATTATCACGTTCATCGTGTTCCTCTTATCAGGAAGAGTTGCATCCACCCTTCACCAGTCTTCAGAAGCACGATAACCAGCATCATATCTATCCTCACCCAGTGATCTTCCACGACGGTCGACTAGTGAAGCGCCCGACCCCATCCACCGCGCTCTTGATCCTCCTGTGGATTCCTTTCGGTGTGATCCTTGCGATTATCCGCATTTCTATTGGAATAATTTTCCCCTTACAGATGATGCCCCATATTTCCCGTATATTCGGAGGGAAAATCATCGTCAAAGGCAAACCACCAAGATCGCCATCAGGCGGAGGCACCGGCTTGTTGTTTGCCTGCACGCACCGCACTCTGTTGGATCCCGTTGTTTTATCCACTGTCTTAGGACGTAGAATCCCGGCGCTAACCTACTCTATCTCTAGGCTATCTGAGATATTATCGCCCATTCCAACCGTTCGATTGACGAGAGTACGAGAAGTAGATGCTCAAAAGATCGAACAAGAACTATGCAAGGGCGATCTAATAGTTTGTCCAGAGGGAACAACATGCAGAGAACCCTTCCTTTTGAGATTCAGCCCTCTTTTCGCGGAATTAACCGATAGAATAGTGCCTGTGGCGATGAACTACAGGGTCGGGTTCTTTCACGCGACGACGGCGAGGGGTTGGAAGGGGATGGACCCCATCTTCTTCTTCATGAACCCTAGGCCGGTCTACGAGGTTACGTTCTTGAACCAATTGCCGGTAGAGGCGACATGCACGGCCGGTAAAAGCCCTTACGACGTCGCAAACTACGTCCAGAGAATATTAGCCGCGACGTTGGGGTTCGAGTGCACGAATTTCACTAGAAAGGACAAGTACAGAGTTCTTGCTGGAAATGATGGGACCGTGTCCTACACTTCCTTGGTTGATCAGATCAGGAAGGTGGTGAGCACATTCAAGCCCTTCATACAGTTCTAAGGCCGGGCGGGAAATATGAACCATATTCTTTTGTTTCCTTTTGGGTTATATTTCGTTCGTATAATTTCTTATGAGTGGTGTTTTGTTTGCTCTATAGTGACATGCATGGATGGGATTGCCTACTGCAATTTTTTTTTATTTCTATTTTCGGACTATTATTATTTCTGGAATTGTCAAATAAATGTATGTGCATATGTTACTTGAGCACACATGTTCTGGTTATGCTTATCATTGCAATTTTCAGATTTCTCAAATGTAACCATGTAAGTAGTACTGGCAACAACCTATACATCCTCACATACATGTCTTCACTTCTGAACACCCGTTCTTAGAAGTATGGCCACACATTGCCTATGAGGAATTTCTTGGTTTAGGATCAGTTCTGCCTTTTCCGGAACAACGATTTGTTAAATCCTATATGGCACAACCGTATATATGTAACACGTTCTTCTTTGTAACTAAAAGAACTACATATAGCTGCTTTCATCTTGAAAGGAATCATTATTAAAAAAAAAACAAAACAAACAAAGATTTCTTTAGCCCTATTCTTGAGAGATGTAAGAATATAAGTACATGTCCAAGTGCTTGTATAATTGCTTTTGGGGTTACATGTAATGCAGACCCAATGTTAAAGAACTATGCTAGTGAATATAGTCGAGGAAAAAAGTATAAAATCATAGGTAAAGTAATAAATAAATAACACAAAGCTGTAAAATTATTTTTGATTTGTTTTCCATTTCGTTATACTTTAGCTGAAAATTTTAAAACTAATAAAAGGTGGACCGATTGGCATATGTGGCTTGCCCACATTTTTTCCCTTGGGCAGGCCTAGGTAGACCTCAAGAGATTCGGGCCCGGGTAGGTCCAGATCGAGCCCGCCCAGGCTCGCAGAATGAGCATGTTTGATTTTCACTTATACCCATTCTTTTAGTTGTACACTTGCATCCCTATAATTATTCAATCTTTTCATGATTCAAAATGTTGTCCTAAGATATTTGGTGGTATCACAGCACCATGTCATCACCTGATGTGGCGATCATTACTATGGTTAGACCCACTTAACAAGCGACACATGTCAATTTATGTGATATCAAGTTTTATATATATAATATAATTTGCCAGTAGATTGCATATTGTGAAAATCTGTAAATTTCTGACATGTCCGATTAAGTAAATGGTTGCAAAATTGAAATGTCCCGCCAAAGGACTCACTTCTTTGACTTTTTGCCCTTTTTTACGTTCTTTGCTCTCCAAACCGTCCCTCCACTCTACTATTCCTCGATTTCTTTTTTCATTTTAGAAGGAGAAATCTCGATGAGAACAATATTTTATTGTGGTTGTCGACTAAAATTTAGATATAAGAATTACATTAAAAGTTAGTTTTCATCCATCCCTAGGACGCATCATCTTTTGTCGTTTTACAAAATTTCTACCACATAGGCTCAAGGGAGGTTTAATTGCGTTGACTCCAGTTTCGGTTCATTGCAAAGGTTGAGCACTCTAGCACGACCACTCAAACATTCTCATTCTTTGATCATGACAGTTTCTCTTTCTCAGGTGGATGTTTTTAGATTTTGGGCAGATCTTTTGTAGTTGTTGATGAGTGATGATGGTAGTAATGCTTATATTCTGTCCTCACCGAATCAAAGGATGCACACCAAATTTTTTTTTTAAGTCACTAGCTTACACCACATATGTTTATTAAAAAGAAGAATCTTTCCCTATTTTCACAAATATTCAGTATATTATTCCTAGTCCTCCGTAGCTAACTGAACTTGTTCTCAAGATAAATGGGTATGGCTTCATCTTTTTAGAATTTAAACTTATTTTCGCGTTATCTTTTTTCTTTAAATGAGTGCAATTTTTTTAAACTATAGAGGCTCTAAAAGATAATATTATCATGCATAACGTCGATAACGAATTTGACTTTTAAATTGGCATGACATTTCTAATAATTTGAATTTGAATTTTTTTTCACTTCATCTTTCTTCTTAAAATTATTGCATTTTTTTTTTAAATTGAAGAGGCTATAAGGATCATATCATCTTGCATAATGTTGATAAACAATTTGAATTTATAATTGGCATGATCTTTGTTAGTGATGAGAACGAAGGTTATAATACATAAATTTCATAAAACAATTTCCGAGGGAGTGTAAAGAGGACAAAAGCAAATAGTAACAAAGGAATATTGTGACATGCACATTTATTTGTAATTGTGAAGGACTCTCTTACCAATCCCACCTTATGAATCAAGAGATGTTTATAAGACAGTGAATAGAACCAAATGTCAAGAATGCAAGTAATTCAAAGTCGAGGATGGAGTCCGGTTTGTTGCCAAGTATAAAAATATTTATAATCATGCTTTATTGGTGAAAAACAAAAACATTTGATACGATCATATCAAAACATAGTGGATACTAATAAAAGTATTTTGATATTTATGGCTAGGGCCGATGTAAGGGCTATGAAAGCATAATCCTACCTTAGTGGTGAACTGAGGGGACTGTAAAATGTTGTATTTAAGTTACGTGATTGTTGAAATTTCTTACAATCATGGAGAAGCAACTTGATAGTGCACGTGATTGTCAAAGTCTCATTAACCATTTTAATTATTGACAATCAAATGGAAGTAATTTTACTTATACATTTCAATTGAATAATGAACACAAACTGACCAATTTAGCTTTTGTCCAATGATGTATCCGAGCTGGACTATAAAAGTTTTGGAGTTGTGGTAGTATTTGATACTACCTACCGTGTAAATAAGTACAAAATGATATGTACACCTTTTGTTGGCTTGTAGCATCATTGGAAAATGTTTTCTTTGGTTATGCATATCTATTGGATGAAACTATTGCTTATTTTGTTTGGGTGTTTCAATCTTTTTAGAGGCAATAGGTAATAAAGCACCAAAGACTATTTTCACCAATCAAGATCATTCCATAGTAAAAATCATTAAAACTGTTCTTTTGAATACTAATCATCTTTTTTGTGTATGGCATATTGTGAAAATGTTACGCATCATATTGCGAATCTTCTTGAAAAGCTGGGTTTTCTCAACAAATAGTGGCAAAAGCTTCCATAGCATTGCGAATCTAAACTTAGGGTGCGTTTGTTTCACGGAAAATGTAGCATTTATGAAAAATGTTTTCTAAGAAATCATTTTCCAAAAAAATGGTTAGTTTTCCTTTGTTTAGTGATATATGATCGAAAAAGTTTTCTAGTGTTTGGATCTCATTTGGAAAATGATTTCAAAATGCGTTTGTTTCGCCAACCCACGCTCGTGGCTTGTCGCTGAGGCCAACGACGCCAACCTGCGCTTGTGGCCTGTCACCGAGGCCAACGACCGATGGAGGGAGGAAGAAGGAAAAAGAAAAAGAAAGAAAAGAAAAAAGAAAAAAAGAAAGAAAAGAAAAAGAAAAATGAAAAAGAAAGAAAAGAAAGAAAAGGAAAAAAGAAAAAAAGAAAAAATAAATAAAATAGTAACAAATTCAAGATGAACAATTCCAGAAAGAATTTTTACCTTCTTAGATTAGGGAATTTACTTTCCTAATTTATACATGAATGTTTTCTTTGACCGGAAAGAGTTTTCGATTGATTTATCATTTTCGACGAACTAAACGGATGAAAGTCCGAAAAACGGATTCTCGGAAAACACTTTTCCTTAAACAAAAGCACCCTTAAAATGGAGAACACTTGGAAAGCTACAATTCACGAGTGGACCTTGAGGGACAACAAGAGGTAGGATAATATGTATCGCCTGCATCATAAATGGTTAAGTGCATTTGGTTGTGATATTTTTTTTGTGAGAATTAGCTCCACAAAAAAGGTAAGAGCACAACTAATGTCTTTCAAGATATGGCATATATGACCACGACTTTGTCTGAATTTGTCAATCATCATGAGAAGTAACAAGCAAAAATGTGCATCATTGAAGTTGTTGACGATTTTGAGTATACTTGAGGCAAGCCACAAATTATGACTGAAAATAGTGGAATTTGGAGACCTGCTACAAATGTATACACTCATGTCATTTATGAGAATTTCTAGGCCGAGTTCTCGTATGCTTTGTCTAAACGTGTTGTGAGCTCAAAAACTGATGGGCCATTGCACACTTATTTTGTGGGGATTGAAAATAGTGAAAGAAGCATATTGTCCATTTTAGTCTAAGTGATTCCACCATTACATGTAGGTGCAAGTTATTTGAAATGCAAGGATATGCACATTTACACATGTTGTAACTGTTACAAGACTTTGATCACGATACATTATGAAGAGGTAGATAAAAACCGTAAAACAAGGGACTCATTGTGATGACGTTGGACAAAACTCTCATGATGCCGTTAAAGACATTGCATTGGAAGAGTTTGATGCGGTTGGCTTTCGGTATTATGAACTTCAGTGTGAATCATGATGTTATAGGAAAGCTTGCAACTTCAACCTTATTGCTTTTTTGCTCCCAAATCATGAACAAAATGCAATCTTTAACAAATAAAGATCATGTTCATTTGTTGGTGGAAAGTGATAAATTTGAGGAAGAGAGGGACGAGTAGCTTCCGTACTCATGGTTACCCCTCAGGTTTCAGCACGAATCGAAACCAATCTGCAGCGGGTGGCCTCCCACCGGAGGCCGACCTGCTCCGAACGGCAACGGAGGGAACTTCGATATTTCTAAATAATGGAAAAACAAGAATAGAATTTGGTTTGGGCGGCAGTTTCAATTCACAGGCTAAAAACAGAACAAACTGCCAACCGTCTCCTCTCTCTCTCTCTCTCTCTCCACATTCGCAGGGCCTTAAGAAAGCCATCCAAATCTTCATCGCCATCTTCCTCAGAGAGACAGAGATTGCCAGGGTTCGCTTTTCTCTCTCTATCTCTCCCATATCCTTGCCAAAGTCGCATTCCATTCGCCTGCATTTTGGAATCTTTCGCCACTTCTTTTGGTTCAAACGTCGGAAGCAAGCAACCCCGTTACCGGCTCTTCTGGGATTGCACAATTTGGGTCCGGAATGGTGTTTCGCGTCAGATCCTAAGGGGGATCGCGTAACGATTCGAGTTCGACAGCTGAGAGTCGATGGTAATTTCTTCTTCTTTTTTTTCCGTTTGGTCAAGTTTATGAACCAATGAGGCATTGTTAGTTGAATGATGTCGAAATCCATTCCTGGTTTCGGTTTCGTGCGGATTCAATGATTGCCTCGAATAATAAAAACTCCTTGAGAT